TATCTTTATTTTGTCTTCATCAGCTTCAACTGGCCATCTAGAATGTGGTGCATCTTCATTATTGAAATTGCAAGAACGAAATTTTGTGAACCAGTTTTGGCATTGTCATTCTGTTAACACATCTTCTCCATACATGTCACACAATTTTTTCTTCCTCGAATGGCATTCTTACCTTTTTAGTAAAAAAAAAAGCAAAATATGCCAAAAATGCTGCTTTTGATTTTCCATATTTGATGGGACACCAAAAACAACAATTGCAAAGAATCAAACAAAATTTTTTACAGATAAGCCTTGAAATGTCAGTTGTCAAAATATGTAATGACAATACGATTTAGAATAAAGTTGGTGTGTAAAAATACAACTAATCTCTCTGGTGGTAAAAAACAAAATTACTTTCTGAACAACCAAATATAACAGCTGAGGAAGTAAAAATAGTCTAGAAAAATTTGTCAGTATTTGATTGTTTGTTTGATAAATTTCAATTTTGAGTGAGTATATTTTATATATTCAAGATTTTATCAATCAAATACATAATTTTCAACACATTTTGTTATATAAAGAAATTTTTAAAAACATCTGACATCATTTTTAAACAATTTGCATACGTATAGGTGGAGAAGAACCATAAAGAAAGGTTGACTCTGCTAGTGCTAATTGTGTTCCAGTGATTGTGAATGGATTTCAGTATGACTTCGAAAGTAACTTTTGATATTTTGTTCTCAATACTGTATAAATATATTTCATTCTGGATTCTTAATCTTTATTTTTGCTCTCTCTATCCAAAAGTATTTTTAATAATTAAAATAATTCAGAAATTTCTATAAAAAAAATTAATGATAAGAAATTGGACTGTCTTTCATCGTTAAATTTATTTGTTTGATAAATTAAACAAGTACTTTCGACATTTTCAGAATGTCTTCCTTGGGTGAAAAAAGAATACATAAAATTCAATAGATAGTATAATTTCTTATGTATAGTATATTTGGTGTTGTAAGTGAGAATATAAAGTTTTATAATTAATGATAATAATTTAAGATAATAACATATTTTTATTAGAACAATCTAATCACTTTACAGCTAAAATCAAAGTATAGTATCTGTTATTAGAACAATCTTTTTGAAATCAACCACTCACCACACTGCGATATAGTTAATCACATGCACTGAACCAATTATGGTGTGTAGATAACAAATTCAAATAAAAATGAATGTTTTCAAACTCCTTTGATGATTTCTAAAAGAACATTCAAAAACGAACGTTTTTGAATGTTCTTTTAGAAATCATCAAATAAACTATAACTGATTCTTATTAAACAATGATGTTACTATTAAAGAATGTTTATATATAAAAAATCCTGTTATAATTAATAATAGACACTATTATTTTGTTTAACAAAACTGAAAATTGTTTATTCTTCATCTGTCAATACATGTAATCATTAATGTTGATTTAATAATTAATTACNCTGCAATCTTCGGCTATTTCTCGGGCTACTCAAATATTTTACGTTTTTGATACTAAATTAACATCTGAAGTATAATTTTTTATTGTTTTTATATTTTTCAATAAATTTATTTTGTTTGTACAAAATAAAAAAATAATTTTTAACGATACAATAGTCTTCTTTAGGCTTAACATAGACGAAAATTCAACATGAAGCGACACGCAACAGAGAGAAATTTCAACATGGGATAAATTAATATATTTTTTCGTACATGATTCGTTATCCGAAAAATAAGTTATCCGAACCACCTTAGTCCCCAATTGATTCGAATAAACGACGCTCTACTGTACTTTTATCAAGATTTCATTTTAATATCAAAATTAAATAAACAGGTTATAAGCAAATTAGAATAACTATAAATAATTTTGAAAATAAATACCCTAGCAAAATCATAATGTGGTTCATAATGTCCACCTATGCCATAGTTTACGACTTGAAGCTCTTCTGAAGTGGCCATATTCAATCCGGTAATGGCTTCAATCCTTCTATTAAGTCTTGCAATAACTGGGTCATCGTCATGGCGAAGCCATGCACTAAAAATATAAGTAACTAATATAGTATTTTAATACTTTAAGTAGATATTTATTTTATTTTCCTAATTCAAATACCTTTTACTAATTCTGTAATTAGCTACTTCAAGTTCGCCTGATTTATAATTTTGAACTGTAGCTCTCTTCAACTGTATGAAATAATAACGCATTATTATTTAAAAATTATACAAATTTAATAACATTTCATTTATTTCAAAAATAATATACTTACTCTAGGTTGGGCTAGTTGTTTAATAATTTCAATTTCATTATCTGATAAAATATCATGATAAACTACAATTCGTGGCTTTAAAAACATTTCTTCCTCTTTAACAGGTTGTATTAAGAGGAAAGGATTATTATTTGTTATGTATTGGCATTTTAATTTACTTTCACTGATAAGTGTCTGAAATAAAATATTTTTTTAATTATCAAAGAAAATTAACTGAAAAATTTTTAAACTTCTACATACCATTACTTTTTCTCCTCTACACAATTTTTCATATACTTCTCTCTCAGATAATTCTTCAACAGCTTCAGGAATTTCGGAGGTTGCAATGTATGTTTCTATAGGAACATCACCGTCATCGCCTCTTTTTTGTTGTTCACTTTTTCTGATTGCATCTTCATAATAGGCTTTATTACCTCTTGCACGAGGATGGTCTGGAACTATTTTTTAAAATTATAAAAAATTTAATTAAAAGTTTTAATTTTTAATTAAATTAGTTAATGATATGAAATTTGCAGTATAAAAAGAAAATAACTGTAATTCTGGGAATATAGCTGTTTATTTTTTTATACTAAAATTGCAAATAAAATATTGTGAAATAACTAAATTTTATTTTAAATCTGATTTAAAAAATACGTTAATATGTATGAGATAGTAATCAAATTTAAAAACAAAATATCATCAAAATTTTTAAGTTAAAATTTAATTTAGTTAGTATACAATTTGGCCTAACTACTTCTAGCTAATGATGTCAATATATCAATCAATCACTTCAAAATTCAAGCTAATTTAATTAATAGTTTTGAAACACTGAGACAAAAAGATTGATTTCTGCAAATCTTAACTATAACATCTGAATATGTTATATAAATAACATTAGTTAACATGATTTTGAAGTAATGTGATCTTACATTATTATAAATAACAGTGATAAATGATACGTTAATTGCAATCATACTTTACGTAGCATGAGATAAGACTTTTTAATAGAACTGGTAACTACTGAAACATAAACAAAAAATTGCACACTAAACTGGAACTATATAATCAACTAACTGACACCTAAATGCAAATTCCAGCACATTTTTTTGTGTTTGTTTGTGCATTCATTCCTGATGAGGGCCTCTAAAAGACAGCCAAAAATGCTTGAACATTAAAATTTCTTTGTTTATTATGTGCTGTAATTCACATTTAGGTGTCAGTTAGTTGATTACTAAAAGTTACATTTTTTTGATATATTTAAGTCTTCTGCTGTCATCTATCCATTCCAACTTTAACTACTTGACAATATTCTTTGACATTTTATAAAGAAAAAACAAATTAACTATAAAACAGGTAAAATTTCAGTCACTTTTCATTAATTCTTTCTAATCCTTTATTTAGAAACAATGTAGCTATTAAATATCTTAAACTGTCTACAGATTGGAGTTGCTGTACAATATCCACTTGAGGAATCTGTGTAACTCCAATATATCATGTGCATAGAAATGGGCATGATATATTGGAGTTACACAGGTTCTTGTATATATAAACTTTAAAGAATAAAAATGTATTTCGTATACATGGCAGACATTTTTTCTATAGTGTCCACCTAGCAATTTTCTTGTGAATGTGAGACATGATGGAAACGTGATTATGTTACACCTATCTATCACTATGTGTATGCTCCGTCTGGTTCATTTAATCAAAATTTAATAGGTTATGTGAATATTCTACGAGAAGAATGTGCAGTATGTTAATTTTGAATTTAAAAATTTGTTAAATATTCCATAAAAGGAATATACATTTGAAACTAGTTAATATGTTTGTTTTGGATTCATAATCTTTCAAGAAAAACTGGACCTATGGAAGATCCAAAAAGTGAAGGATTGAAAATGTTAGTCCATTTCTACAAACATGATATATTGGAGTTACACAAGAGTTCTCAAGTAGATATGGCACTGTAGTTATTGTTATGATCTTAATTCTACTGTGTATAGTTATGGTTTCTGACTTTCTGACAATTTTTGTTCCAAGGAGAAATTCTTGACACTATACAATTTCCATTATAAAAATTTCTTTTAAATTTTATTTATTATATTTCAATAAACATATTAAAATAGCAATAAAATGACTGTAATGAATTAAATACATATTTCAAATTAAAATAAAAAGTTTTAGTTTGAATTAATGTTTATAAAGTAAAACTATTAAGCATAAAGTAAACAAAATATAACAAAAGATGCATAACATTTATTATTAATTACATCTAACAAAGAATACATTAAAATGAATTTACTGTCAAACCCCATGAATGCAAAGCTAAAGAAACTTAAAAATTGGTACTTGGTATTAATGACTTTGTATTATCATTAACTAAACTTTACAAAAATCAAGTTATCCCATCAAATGGCAAAAGCCAAATTTTCTTACACTTATTCCCCTATGTTTTATCTTGCCTAACTATTTACAAATAAATAAATAAACAAACTTATGTGTTACTCCAAACATACATTCTATTGAGGCACAATGACCTGAAGAAAGAATCAATGCTCATTTTTTAACATTGGTTAGTTGGTGGAATGAAAATGAAAGTTACTGGATATAATAGGCAGACTTAGCTGCCAAATTAAATCCAAGAATTGGTAGTTATGAAAATTTACAAATTTAAAAATAATACAAATCTAGACCGCACACAGGATGAATATAAAATTAAATTCACTTGAACCTTTAACCGTAATACACACTGGTTAAAGGTTCAAGTGAGTCTAATTTTAAAAATAACTTATCTGCATAGATTTCAATGGAAATAGTTTGTAATTTTAAAATTAATAAGAAACTGATTACAGTATTTAATACAGTAATTCAATTGTTTCGTTATTTCTGTTATTAAAACAATTAAAAATAAGAACTATTTCATAAAGCTGTAGAATTTAATCAAAAATCTTCCAATCCTAATCAGTTTCAAGCATGTTAATTGTCATAACTAATCATTCAGTGTTGTCACAGTATATAAAGCACCAACTATAAGAAAGTTTTTTTGAGTTGGGGTGAACAAAGCACATACTTGCATTGCCAATGATAATTAACAACATTGATGTCATAAGCTTTGTGACCAACACAAAAGTCAAAATATGTGCTCCTGGTCTGATATGGCCACTTTGACTTGTGTGACTTGAAAAAGCTGCAAACAGTGTGCTTTATATTAAACAATGTAATATAATTGTTATTGAATTCAAGGAACCATAACATGCTTCATATTATATATTAACCAAACTGTTAACAGAATACCTATCCTTGCCCATAGGAGTGCAAATCTATATTGCATTAATACAACTTTGCATAAACTGATAACTTAAATGAGGTTTGACTGTATATCAAATCAAACAAAATGTTTACATTGAACTAAAAATCACTTGATAAGGAATAAAGATAATTGTGTTAACAAACTGACTTAAAGGGAACAAATATAATAAATATATATATTACTAGCTGCATTTTTAAAAATTATTTTTTGCCCATTGGGCATTTAGAGAGTCTTTTAATCATGAATTCAACCAGACCCTCAATGGAAGCGGTATGATATGAATAATTCTATTTTGGCTTATTTAAAATGTAAAATTCCTTCCTATTTTAGCAATTCAATTAAGTTACATAAATGCAATTCAAAATCATAGAATGTTTCTAATAAGTATAATATTGTCAATATAATAAAAGTAATTTTAATTTACACATGTTATTAGTTTTTATTTCTAATTTATAGCAATGACAAAAGAAAATTTATAATTATCACTTGATAGTCCCTAATCACAATTTAATTCTTATTCTCTAAAAACAAATTATTTAGTTTACAGTTTACTATAAAAATTGTAAATTAACAAATGAAATAACAAATTGTTTAGCTACAACTTTGCCTAGAATAAAACTAAATTACTGGAATATACCATTGACATTCAATCTAAAAATTGCAAAATTAAATCATTTGAGTATTAATTTTAGATATTTAAAA